CCAACATCGGAAAATCTTCAATTTTTTTTACCGCATGAACGCATTCTTTTTAAAGGACGCTTCGGCAAAACGAAGGAAATTCAAGCCTTTAATAAAGGTGACGTCACCTTCAGTAAAGGGCTTTATTGCGCAATTGTTTTCGAGTTTCGACATAGAAAAGCCTCCGTGGTATTTGGGAAAAGCTTCTTTACAGGCGTAGAATATGTTCGATACTCGGTGTCAATCGATGCTCAACTTCATGGTTTCTGATCGATGTTTGGTTTCCACAGTCGGATTATGACTCCGTTTCATAATCTGGACAATGTTTTAAATGCAGTATTCTGCGTTCATGTTTCTGTTTATTTGCAATACTGTACTGTAAGTGCCTTCATTCGAAACAGTACTAAATAATCGAACCATCGAAAACCTAAAGCAAACAGCGTGTTAGAAATTTACTGTTGTTCGGTTTAATTGCGTTCGTTGCCGTCGTATACGTATTATTTTGGATAACTGAAGTAAATTACTTCAACAGCATCAGTTGTGTTTCTACAACAGCACTTTGAAATGTCATTCGAAGTGAAAACATTTTCACCTCGCAAATATTCTGTGGTCTTTCATACTCACGGAATACAGTGCTGTAAAAGGTACGTTAATCAAAGAATGTACCTACAGTTTGTTATCCTATTTTTACAAAAAGGATTGTTAGTCAAATTATAATAAAGAATAATCTAATATATTCACATAAGCATACAACTTCACAATACAAGTTGGACAAACACAAAGAGACAAGATTTCTGGTACAGCAGAAATCTTCCCAATGGCTTCAACCAAAGAAAATATAGATCTTTAACCAGGCCTGTTTACTCTAAGGGAGTCATGCAGATTCTGATGAGGGGGAATCATAGCTAGCATCAATACACCATCAGGGACAGGGAAGCACCTGCATGTCTCTGGGGGAGAGGGACTGCTGGGAGGTCAGGAATGAGGGGCTGCACATGTGCATACTATTGAGCAACACTGGGTGTGGGGAAACTTGCATAGGAGTGGCTCAGTGCATTCCCACACAGGAAGGTAAACAACATGAGCACAGGAAGGAATACAGCAGAGAATACTAAAGCTGAAACAAATGGGTTTACTGCTACAGAAGGTTAACTGAAATACATTGAACAAGAAGTCTTGTTCAACACTTGTCATAACAAGTTTATATAGATCAAACATCACAATAGACTAAAAGAGCAAAGAGTCAATAGAAGCTAGGGCATGTGAATAGAATACTGTACCTGAAATAACCAGTGAATCAAAATTGGAATTATAAAGGAGATTCACATTTGCCAAATTACTCGCTCACTTCCATTTGGAAAGTATCTAGTCTAATCTTCAAGTTCCTTGCTGGTACCCAACATGAGCCCTAAAAATTTGAATAATAGAGGTTCAAGGAGAGAAACCATCAGGTTAATGTATATAGATTTATACTGGAATGTTCTTTTTAAGGGAATCCAGATATGGACAGCAGGAATTAATTTGTCATAGGGAGGTATTTGACTTTGAGGTTTGAGGTTGCAAGTTCTGTGAAAATTCAGGCAAGCTTGGGGGTGTTTATCTTCCAATAAAAGTGCAAATCTGTATTCAGCTACTGAATGAGTACCGCAAACAGGATATTATAAATTGTATGTAGGCATTTAACAGAAAAGGTTTATAACTTTTTACTGAACCACAGATTTAAATACTTCAGCAGTGCCATTTGCGAACAAATTAGAATTGAATAAGATATGAAGGGGCAGGAAAGGCAATATAATGAAGGAAGAAATAAAATCACTTTTTGAAAGTGAGCTCCATGTTTTAGACATGTGTCAGGAAAATGGGGAGTGGAAGCAGTCACACTTTGGAGAAGCCCTTGCCTCCCCCAAAAACACAAAAAGGAACCCACCTTTATGGCAGCAATTTCGCGTAAGGCGAAGCCTTGACTTCATGTTTTTCACAAACACCAGAGACGTCAAAACCCTGAATTATAGCTTCCTTCCAGGGAAAATGCCATTTCCTCAGCTAGGAAAGTCATTTTCCCTCTTAATAGGACAATCTGCGTCTTTAGTTTCGTCCTCCCAAAGGACACAAAATTTGAAGTAAGGAATCCAATTTCCTCTCTCAATGGCCAAATTGACGGCCAGCCAATCTGTTGTACAAAGCCAAAACAAACGGCTGAGCCTCCTTCTAAAAAAAGCACCAAAATTGAAGAGAAAGATCGGAGCACTTGATAACAAGAAAAAGAATGACCTAGCCAGTGGACTTGGCTTTTGCCAAAGTCTGCCATTCATTAACTTGTCCCTTTTGACCGGGCGCATCCCTTTGATTATGACGTCTACCGGATTCCGTGCTAACAGAATCCACATTGCCAGGAAAACAAGGAAATTGAAACCCCAAGTCGTCCCCCCTTTGACAGGAAGCCTTGGAAATATTTAAAAGGACCAAGATTTTGAAAACTACACACATTCAATTCTCCGACGTTGTCTTGACGCAAACTCTTGAGAATAGCTACAAAAACTTGTGTAAACAAAAAGTTGTAAAAATCAAAAGTTGTATATTTTGAATATATACGTCATCTTCTTGGGTGTAAAAACCCTGGCAACCCGGCTGAAGGAGTGTACAAATTTATTTCCTGTGTAAAATACTTTTCACTTCAATCCCTCATTTCACCACAACATAATAGTTCACCAGACCTCGCTTTTGGCCATGATGAAAACCGGAAAAAGTAAATTTCACAAGTGTGGCGGAATAATTCAGTGCGTTAAAGTACCATAAATCTATGCTGGATTAATCTCAAACATTCGAGACCTTTCTCAGATTTTCCATAGCATCAACTCGCCGCCATTTCCTTGGGAAGCTCCAGTTCAGTACTGGAAGAGAGTCCATCGAGTTTAGTCAATTGTGATTGTGTGTTTTATCTTTGTAAGTGATTGTGATTTGGGGTTTAATGAAATACATTTATCTTATTCTTTGGGATCTTGACAACAAGATCCCCAGGTGCACCCCACACCTGATTACAGTGTTATTTTATTTCAAATTTCTCGTCCTTTTGTGCCGATTCCGGCACAACAAGTGGGATTGTGGTTATTTCGGTCGCTTTATTGATTTATTCATTCAAGTTTGGGTAGCTGAGATGATACTGGACAACAGTTGCAATTATTAACTTTAAAAGTTCTGTTTCATTATGGTTCACCCCATTTTCTTTTACTGACCTCTCCACAAAGATGATGAATCATGATGTTTATACAGCATTCGCCGGCTTATTCCATGCACAGCTAGATAGTATTCTAGCACTAGAATAATTCCCTCTTCATTAAAGGGCAACCATACGGTTAATGGAAGCTTATTTGAGTCAATGAGGGGTAAAACTGGAGAGGTGCAAATTTTTTCAGCCACAATTTTTCATCAGGGCACACATAATCGATCCACTCATGAATCATGAATCTTTTAAAGCATATAACTTCCTTCTCTCAACTTTTATTTTGATTTAAAAAGTGGTTGTTGCAGAAACTTCATTGTGAGATGAATGCTGCTCTCTTTTTTATTTTACTCCATTTTCATCTCTTCATGTTTTGCACCTGTTGACTTTAGATTTGTGCACACATTTGTTTTTCATACCCTTGTGTAGTGTTCCTTGTGTATGGTGTCATTGCTTTGCCATCATATTACACAATACATTGTTCTGAAAAAACTATGAATGTGCATTTGAGGGGTCCCTGTGGATATCATGTTTACTCAATAAGTTAAGTACCATGTCCCTCACTCAAGTAAGATGAACTCCAGGGTTTTTCAGTCCAAATTTGTTATAAAATTGTATCCCCAAGTAAGACAAGCACCCAATTTTCAGAGACTCTGAACACAACATATTTTTCAAGAGTAAAACCACCCAAAATTAATTTTAGATGTTAATTGATCCTGAATTCAGCACATTTTAATTTTTTGATTACACATCAAATTGTTTTCCCTTAAAAACATTTTCCCGTTGAAATTGGTCCAAAATTTCCCATTAAAATCAAATACAATGCAAACCTAAACTTGTAAACTTTTCTAAAATGTATACCCGTCTATGACTGGCACCATGTTTTCACCTCTTGATTTTGAGAAAAAAGTGCACCTGCTGGTACTCAAGTAAATGCAGTAAATAGGGTATATGTTCTTGGAATCAAACCTGCTGATTGCCCCTGTTTGGTTTCTTCCACTGTGTCTTTATTATCCCTTCTCAAGTTGTTGGGCTCAATGAAAACCTCATGAAGCATTGTATCAAGGAATTATTTACTGCTTCACATCACATGCTACAAGACTGTAACTCCTGTAGCATGTGAATACATAAATACATTAGTTTGTGCATTGCCAGAGCACCTTCTCTTCTTATGTCCAGCATTTGAAAGAGATAGAAACCAGCTTTTTGAATGTATTTTGGGGGAGTTGGGTTGGGTGGGGAGGGGGTTTGGATGCAGGAGTTTTGGTTGTACCTTGTGAACACTGAAAAGCGGCAAATAAAGTTTTCTGTTCATTCATTCATTCATTCACATCACTGTTTACAACACAAAATTTGGTCTGGACAAGGTTTCTCTTCTTGAGTAAAGAAAAATTGCGTGTTTGATAGATGAAAAATACTTGCAGGCTCATTTGTGGAATACTAGATTGCTGGTACTGGTTTCCGTTTTGAATGTGCAGCCACTAGACTTTTGTCAAAAGGACTCGTTTGCCCTCATAATGAACTCCTCCCACGAAGGGGTTGAAGACATACAAAAACATACACGAGAGCCGTTTCCATTGCAACGGTTCACATAACTTGAGATCCCATGAGCCAGTGGTGCGCAAGAATGGGAAAAGTTGCACGTGACAATAGGCGAGAACGATTGTTTGCCTTTCGACACGTGGGCTAATTGATCCAGGAACAGAGAACAGCATATAGTATATAGATTAGAATCGGTGCGCTTGCTGTTCAGTGTACACTCTGCAACCAAGAAGCTTGGAACTCAGACTAAAAATAAACCATGCTAGTGACATGGATGATTTTGGAATTTTTGGTGGCTTTGGCCGCTGTTTCGGCGCCGTTTTCGGCGGCCGTCATCACCACGGATTATTCGAGCTCCGACACGAGGTTCGGCTACGAATTGGTCACAATTTACAAAAGCAAATCGGCGATGAATGATTCGAGTTTGACGAGGAATGTTTGCGCTACTTGGTGCCAATCTTTCTCGGGATGCGTCGCTTATAGCTACTATTTCCGATTCGCGGATAAATTAAGGGAGTGCAAAATCGGACCGAGTTCCACGTCCATCAGATTATTGGCGGGATCAACGGTTTATTCGAAACTTCGTAGTAAGGTTTCCAGTTTCCGGCGATTGCTTATTGACGCATTTTTGGCATCGAAATTTTCGGTGCGTGTATTTTAGTGAATCTCCTTGGAGAGAAGCTTGTGAGTTTCAGAGACATTGCAACAAAAACGCGTCGATGACGTGTGACAACAAAGTTTGCGCTTGTCCTTCTTCCCATGTTGTTTCTGTTAGCGGATCGCAATGTTTATTGAGTAAGTTATAACATTATAAGTGCACAACCTAAAAATACTGCAAATTTGATTGTATTTTTACCCAAGTGGGTCGCGTGCGACGAAAGTCAGGCGATGTTTTTCTATTTTATGAACGGTTTTTAAGTCGTATGCAGCGATTAATTCAGAGTGGCTTCAGCTTGGAAGGAAATAAAAAAGTGCTTACATAAAAATGACAACATAAATCGCTTAATCAAGTCAAATAAAATTTCGCATAATGGGAATTAAAAATGGTGAATAGGGTACAAACTCTGAAATTGACGTGGCCCCTAACGAAACAAGACCAAGCTTATGTGCGTTGTTTTTGTAACATTGACTGACGCAGGGAAGCCAAAAAAAAAAAATGAAAACTCCCAAAATGCATTTTTAAATTTTGATTTTTTTGTGAGCTGATTCAAACTTTTCCTCATTTTCAAAAACATCCTTTCCATGCAAATCCAAACGAATTTAGTAAAATTCCGCGTATAATTCAGATATGATAGAAAATAAAAGAATCATGTTACATCCCAAAAATATTGTTGTTTTCTAAATTTTTTTTTGTGAAATCATGGTAGTAATTTTCCGTAATTAGCTCGAGTAAAGACTCCGTTATATGACATCAAAATTAGTATGAAAAGTAAGTTCTAGTTTCCATCATAATATTGAAAGTTCAGTGTTTCACGAAGGTAATACATCTCACTGATGCGTTTCCAAAGGAATGCCCGTCAATGGAACGTGTGTCGAATCTCAGCAATATGCCCAGTTTCCACGGATTGCGTGTCCGGATTATGCGCATGTAACAGCGAAACATCCCTGCTCTTCGGAAATTTACCTTGCGTTCCTTGTAAGATCAAATTTGATGAAATTGACAAATGGATCCTGAAAGTTTAATTCGCATTGTATTTAGCTGTTATGTTCCAATACTCGATTGGCGCTGGGCTGCATTATTTGCTGTATCCGAACCCTCAGGCGATTTATCCCTCAAATGCGTTGATTTGGTGGTGCATCGAAGCCCCGCCAGGGATGAGATTGACTGCCAACACATCATTCTGGGATGTGGAACCTTGCTGTGACTACGTCGATGTAAGTTTGGATGTCGTAACTTTTTTTTAATAATTCATCCTTCAATAAATTGCAATTTACTAGGATGTGTTTTTATTCATAGGCATATGATGGCTGCGACGCAAACAAAACCCTTCTGAAAACTTATCGTGCCTTGGACACGAAGGTGGTTTCCACGCAGAACATGATGGCATTCATGTTTTTCTCAGACTACACTCGCAATTATCTCGGATTTGAAATCGACTTGGTTCCTTTCTAATTTTTTTGCTGACATTGTTTTTTGAAACTGAATGCACGTACGACTAAAGAGCTGTATAGATATATTATTTCTCGCATAAAAAAAATGACGACTTGTATGTGGTGAAGGAATAAACACGCATAAATGTCTTTTCAAACAAATTAACACAAAGCAGTGGTCTGATTTTATCCGTTTATATTATAATTCTACCTATTTTCAAAAAAGCAAATTCATCTGCCATGGAAGCATTTATTATTGAATTAAACCGAAATAAACTTTCCTTTATTATAGCGGAGCAAACATACAATTGCATCAATACGAACAGAAAATCGAAATGTTCGTAATTTTTATCCCAAAATGAAATTAGGTATTTCAGCATTTCCATTATACTGTACTGTACCACGGGCTCGTTTTCAGACAATGGTTCACCGAACTGAATAAGGCATAAAATAGTGCACCTTGATCGTGACTTTGACATGCATAATTTATTGGCAAGAAAATGATTCGGAAACAAATCCAAGCTCGGAAATCGTTCCACTATAATATAGACTGACAATGTGTCTCACTTTAAAAAGGTTTCGTTTTCTAGAATCTAGATGACCATTGAATTGTGATCGTGATTAGCTAAATAATATTGCATATTTTCAGCCTTTTTTTCTACCGGAACATGCTCAATTTCGAGCTAAATTCATCAATCTGACCTCGCAGTCTTTCTCTTTTGTTTCATAAATAAGTGCGTCAAAATCACAGGAAGTGCGCAAAAACAAAAATACGTGAACCTGATCTCCAAGGCAACCGATCGACGTCAGAACCNTATTGTTTTTTGAAACTGAATGCACGTACGACTAAAGAGCTGTATAGATATATTATTTCTCGCATAAAAAAATGACGACTTGTATGTGGTGAAGGAATAAACACGCATAAATGTCTTTTCAAACAAATTAACACACAGCAGTGGACTGATTTTATCCGTTTATATTATCATTCTACCTATTTTCAAAAAAGCAAATTCATCTGCCATGGAAGAATTTATTATTGGATTAGACCGAAATGAACTTTCCTTTATTATAGCGGAGCAAACATACAATTGCATCCATACGAACAGAAAATCGAAATGTTCGTAATTTTTATCCCAAAATGAAATTAGGTATTTCAGCATTTCCATTATACTGTACGTGGGCACGTTTTCAGACAACGGTTCACCGAACTGAATAAGGCATAAAATAGTGCACCTTGATCGTGACTTTGACATGCATAATTTATTGCCAAGAAAATGAATCGGAAACAAATCCAAACTCGGAAATCGTTCCACTATAATATAGACTGACAATGGGTCTAACTTTAAAAAGGGTTTCGTTTTCTAGAAACTAGATGACCATTGAATTGTGACCGTGATTTGCTAAATAATATTGCATATTTTCAGACTTTTTTTTCTACTGGAACATGCTCAATTTCGAGCTACATTCATCAATCTGACCTCGCAGTCTTTCTCTTTTGTTTCATAAATAAGTGCGTCAAAATCACAGGAAGTGCGCAAAAACAAAAATACGTGAACCTGATCTCCAAGGCAACCGATCGACGTCAGAACCGGATTTCTTTAGGTATTGTTATACACATTAATGGACCTCCGGCTTGAATCTAATATGATGAATATTGAATGACTTATCTATTCACCGTTGAAAACAGTGGGTGGAACCAGCGCATGTATTTTTTTTGTACCGAAATCTATACTCTACAATTTGCAGCGGTGGACTTGAATATTTCTTCATGAATCGACTGGAAATTATTCGACGCATGAAGAACGTTCCTGGAGGTGTCTCAAAATAACCCACAAGATCAATAGATGGTTTTGAGATATACATTTACTTGATGTTATTGATTACTTTCCGTATAATCGGGCATATAGTCAAGATTTATTGTTTTTTTCAAGTATTCAACTGTTATTCATTAATTAACAGAAGTTTTCGCCCGCGACTTTTCGATCGAATAAAATCAACAGAATTTTAATTGTATCTCCCCATATTTATATTCCTGAAAGACATGGAAGAACATATACAGTACAGCGTATGATGATATACTGCATATTTTATTTGAAAAGTTCTGTGAAATAGATATAAATTATGCGGTATTTCAGAAATGTGTGCATGAAAGATTAGCTGATAGGACTTGCAGCTTTAACGAATTAGAAAGCGTTTATACTTTTTTCTAATTTACTCCAATCCGGTTGAAAAACTGCTCATACATCACTTGTAAATAATCATGAAGATTCACTTGACACAAAATATTCTTCAAAAATCGCCGAATTCTTTCGTGGCCTATAACCAAGTTTCTAACATTGCAAGAATCTGCTCTTCTATATGACAAAGTTCTCTATAGAATCGAACACATGTTCATTCACAAATAATTTATTTTTTAAAGAGAAAAAAAAAGAGTTCGACTGTATACGAGCATCTGGGAATATTTCTCAATTAGCCATCGGGTGAAAAAAGACACCGTGTCATTACAATATACGTAGTCTCATTTTGCGTTATTAGTGATTGACTTTCCATGAATCACGCATCAGTTATGAGGGTTCGTATTGTATGTGTGCATTAGCAACCCAAATGTTCTTGATAGGGGGTCACTTCCATACTCCACGATACTGACATTCCGTGAGAAATTGTGCACCTGACCTCATTGTCTTTTACCTCATATCGTGATACTTGTTTTAAAAATTCGAGCAGGACACTGCTCAGTACTAAATCCCAAGGATTGGACCAGTTCTTCGTTAAACCGCGAATAACGTGGATGAAAAGGAGCGACTTGTTCAGAAAAATTTCAAGACCATGGTCTCACATAAGAGAAATATTTACAATCTTCTGCCAGCAAACGCCGCTGCTTTCATTTTACTTTTCGCGCCATTCACAGCAGCTGCGATCACCACTGATTATTCCAGCTCGAACACGAGACTCAACCAGGAATTGGCAGTGATTTACAAAAGCAGATCGGCGAGAAATGACGAAACCTTGACGAAGAATGTTTGTGCTGGTTGGTGTCAAGCTTACCCGGGTTGCACGGCTTATAGCTACTATTTCCGAGCCATTGACAAGTTTGCAGAATGCAAAATCGGACCGAGCTCGACTTCGACGAAGCAGCGAACAGGAGCCACGGTTTATTCGATACTGAGAAGTATATTCTGAAACATCGTGAACACTTCTTTCGAAAAACAGTTTTAATTTAAATTCTTCATGAGATTTCCTTCGCAGTGAATCTCTTTGGTGGAGAAGTTTGCGAACTTCAGAAACAATGCAATACGAGTTCAATGATGAGCTGTGTGAACAACGTATGCACTTGTCCTTCTACTCATACCCTGGCAATGGATGGACAGCAGTGTTTACCACGTATGTTCAGTTTTTTTCTTGACTCGTAAAATTGATGCGAAGTTGTAAGAATTTTCTACAGAAAATATTGTGTTAAGAAGATTTCTGCCCGCTAGTTTTTCTGCTCTTAGAAAATTTCACTAAAATATAGAAAGATGCTTTTGGCAAAAAGTGAGTCTTGATTGTTGTCACTGGAGATTCTTAACCCCTAGGCAGTGGTGCTGGAATTTATTTGCGAAATGTTCTGTCCCAAAGTAAACAAAAGAGGAGAAAGCAGGGATTACCGGAGGAGACAAAGTGTGGAACATTTCAGATTTTTTTTCTTTTTTGGCAGAAAGAAAGCTTGGCTGCTGTGTGGCATTTTTTACATTCCTTTTGTAGGATTAACATTGGAGATTTCAGACATAATAAGTTACCTTTGCCAGATTTTTCTGTACTTTGGCTACTCAGCCAAATCTTTGTTTTGGTGACCTTATTGGTCAAACCAAAACGTACTGCAAAAATTTCCCAGCGCTGCTAAGGGATGGAATTTCGCCCGCTGCCAGCCTTGGGTTAATTTGCATTGGCAATATATGAGTATTTGATGTTATACCCACATTTTACAGACTGCTGATTAATTATTTTTTCTTTTTCGTGTTTGTGCCTTTTTTACTGCACTCCAGAAAAACATCCAGATAAAGAAGAAAGTTATCGAAGGGAAAATTTAGCATGCTTTTTCTGGCTTTTGTTCGTGTTTTCTGGTCGATCAAATGAAATAGCGGTTTATGCCATTGGTTTTTCTGAAAATTGCTGAGCAAAAACATCCGCACAATATGTGAAGTAAAATGGCGGATAAAATATTTTGCAGTTGTTGGATTCAATGAGTCTTGCAAGGAACAGCAGCAGTGTCCCACGTCATCATCATGCCTGAGTGCATTATGTCAATGCGATCCTGGGACAACATTATTTTATGGAGAATTGCCTTGTTTTTTGCAGTTGTTGGATTCAATGAGTCTTGCAAGGAACAGCAGCAGTGTCCCACGTCATCATCATGCCTGAGTGCATTATGTCAATGCGATCCTGGGACAACATTATTTTATGGAGAATTGCCTTGTGTTGATTGTAAGTTATATACCCTAACGCCCCGGATTTACCAGCAAACAAAGAACCCCGGTCTTTCACTTCTTTCAAGAATTATATTTCAGCTTCCATGGATAGAAGACTTTTATTATCCATATCAAATCTATACTTCATTTAATTCCCTATATACTTCAAGAGACCTTGAGTCTGAATTGGTTTCATCGCACAAGAGTATGTGTGGGAGCTTTTTCCCTTTTTTCGTAAGCTTTTTTTAAGTTTGACTCGGGTCGATTTGCGGACAAGTAAAACCTTTGGCTTGTGAGGTAAGCCAATCCAGAGAAGGGAAAAAAATTGTCGACAATAGTAAAGATGAGCTTCTGTATTTCACTGTTCTCTTCAACAGCTAAAACCGAACTACTTTTGCATCCGAAAAAAACGTTGCTTATAAACACACTCCTGGCAGAATAGCGCGCCAAAATGAAAGTAAAATGAGCCAAAAATACACAAAAATACAATGGTTGCAAACAATGTGTTCCACAACCGTTCTGCTGGAAAACGGAAATCCGCGTCGTAAATTTTGCTTTCACCAGGGTTTTTTTCTCTCAGCATGGGGCATCAGAGCCCCAACTTTCCTAATCAATACATCAGGCATTTTTGCCATTCCCCCTGTCAATGTGACGTGTTTTTGCTCTAACGTTTTCCAGGAAACAATATTTCCTCACTAAAGGGTCTTTCTGATGTTTTTGAGGATTCTGTTCCTAATCATTTCCAGGATGTGAATTTCCGTTTGGTTTTACAAAGTGTGTAGTCAACGGTTTTTAGTGATCAGTGTTTCAACACTGTTTTTATACATGACAATGCATGCAAGTATTTATATATATTACAATTTTTATCCACAACACTCCCCCCCGAAGAGGGAGTAAAAATCTTTACAACCTCTTCTCACCCTTGCAGTTCTGGGTAAAAAATTCGATTGATTCCCAAGTAGCGTTTGCCAGTTTCAGTTTCAACCACAACGCTTCGAATTCGATTATCTCTTCCCATTATCAATTCAACAATTGTTCCAGATGTCCAGGATGGTTGGAAAACATTGCCTTTCCGATCATCAATGACAATTTTATCCCCAACATGCATTTTGATCATTTTTCCTGCCCCAACACGTTGTTGTCTTAAAGAATGGAGGTAAACAGTCCTCCAAAATTTCCAAAATGTGCCTCTTAGTTGTTCAACAGCTGCTAAGGTTTTAGAAATTTTGCTAGTCCATGGTAAAGCAGAGACTTCAGGGTTTGCTGGGGCAATGATCTGAAAGGGCGTAATTGCACGTCCATTGTCATCAAAGGCAATAGGGCGACGATTCAAGTCATATTCAATTTTTGTCAAGGATGTTGCAAAGGCTTCGTATTTTACTCGATTTTGATGCTTTCTGTTCATCATTGTGAGTCCCCGTTTAATTTCTTTGATCATACGTTCCCAACTTCCTCCCCAATGAGGGGAGCCTGGTGGGTTCACTTTGAACTGGAATCGCCATTTAGACTCACATTCATTTTGGATTTTGGGGTCCTTGAACAAATCTTGGATCAAACGATTCCCACCACGAAATGCTGTCCCGCCATCGCAGTAAATTGTTGTTGGTACCCCTCTTCTGTTGATAAACCTTTCTAAAGCCAGGATGAATGTAACGGATTCTAAATTCCTGGAGGCTTCAAGATGCACTGCGCGAGTTGTCAAGCAGATGAAAATAAGTCCCCAACATCTTCCCCCAATCAAATCAAATGGGCCAAAATGATCTATTCCTGTTTCAGCAAAGGGATTGCCCTTGAGATTCAAGCGATTGGGATGGTAAGGGGCTTGATATGCTTTAACAGGCTTTGGACGTAAGGATTGACAAATTCCACAGCGTTGAATTTCTTTCTTTATCTCTGTCTTGCCTTTCACAATGTGGAATCGTCTTCTAATTTCTGCTCTGGTGTATTCAGGTCCTGCATGATTTAACTTTGCATGGGTTGATCTGATTAACAGCTGCCCAAGCTTTGATTTCCCAAATATTACTGCAGGATAACATTCCTCATAAGGCATAAATAGAGCATTTGTAAATCGGGACTCAACTCTGAGTATCTTATCCTCATCTAAATAGACAAGGAGACCCTTCAGAGGGCCATTCTTGAAGGGCACAGATTGCTTGCCCTGCTTAATACATTCTTTTAGCTCAGTAGGAAAAAATAGTTTCTGGTGTTTTTTCAAGACTTCTTTCTCTACTGCATCCAAGTTACTTGCAATTGATTCCTCATTTTTCAGCTTGACTAAATAGTCATTCCAAGATTCTGCAGACTGCAAATGCTTATCTTGTTCTATTGTTTCATAATTAGTAGAGCAGACAGTTGTTGTCTCTCTTATTTCAGGGTCAGTTGTATTCTCCCCAATTTTCTCTTGCCTTTCCCTCAATTTTGGCCAAACATTTTCTGGATGGGATAAAAATTCTGGTCCTCTAATCCAGTCAGCCCACTGTTGTTTCATTTCAGAGGCAGTCAATCCCCTTGAAATCCGATCAGCTGCATTCAATTTTGTTGGCACATAACGGAATTCCACTGCCAGTAAGCTAAGGGGTTTTTCTTCCAGTAATTCTTGAATTCCTCCAACTCTCTGGGCCACAAATGGCTTAAATTTTGAGGCAGGACTTTTTGCCCATGCTAATGCAGTAACACTGTCAGACCAAATGATGGCTCTTGAGAAAATTTGCTCATCTAATTCTGTGACCACAGTATGCAATAGCTTGACACCAATTACCATTGCCAACAATTCAAGGCGAGGCATGCTTAGTGGTTTTGAAGGTGCCACTCGATTTTTTGCCAACAATAAAGCTGGTTGAATATTCTCATTGCGTAAGTAAACAGCTGAGCCATATGCCTTTTCTGAGGCATCACAAAATATGTGGATTTCTAAGATTTCTGAATTTTTGTAACCAATCCATCTAGGGATTGTACATTCTTTTAATCCATTCAAGCTTTGAGCCCAATCCTGACACTGTTCTTGCAATTCAGTGGGCAGAGTGGCTTTCCATTCTCTGAGCATTTTCCAAACAGTGCTCATCAATACAGCACCTCTAGTTTTGATTGGGGCATAAAACCCCAAAGGGTCAAAAATGCTGGCTAGAGTTGAAAGGAATTCTGCTGGATTGGTTATGGTTTTTTCTGATTTCCTTGTTGACAACTGGAATTCATCTAAATGCAAATCCCACTTTATTCCAAGTGCTTTTGTTGTCAAAATCTCCGTTTTGTCTGTAATGCCTTTCTTTTGCTGAGTGGTCTCTGCAGCATTTTTCAAATGTTTGATGGCTTTAGATGAATTACTCATCCACTTTTCAAGCTCAAAACCTGCTTCTTTCAAAACATCTCGTACCTTCTGGCTGTATTCTACTGCCTCTTCCTCCTGGTCAAAGGAGGCATAAAAATCATCCACATAAAGATTTTTTTCTATCAGAGTTTTTACTTTGGGATCATCCTGCCGTTTTGCTGCTAATTGGGTACAGAAATTTGCTATAGCTGGTGAGCAGGCTGCGCCAAAAATGTGTACATTACTGGCGTATGTCTGAATCTCAGAGTGCTCTTCATCCCGCCATAAGAACATCAGCATTCTTCTATCCTCTTCCTTCACTCTTATTTGAGGAAACATCTCTTTTATGTCCCCATTCATAGCTATTTTGCGCAGGCGAAACCTCAGCAAAATTCCCAAAATGTTGTTCAACAAATTAGGTCCAATTTCTAAGAGGTCATTCAGACTTTTCCCATGATTTTTGCTCCTGGCATCCATGACCCTACGTGCCTTGCCTGGCTTATCTGGATGGAATACTGGAAAATGAGGGAGAAAATAATGATTCTTTCTCTCATTTTCCATCACTTCTTCTTTGTAGAGTTTTCTAATGTAGCCTGCATCTAAATCACGTTTGAAAGTAGCACTGTACAGGGCTTTCAATCCCAAGTCTTTTTGCAGGCGTCTTTCTAGTAATTTCAACCTTCTAATGGCTTGAGTTTTGGATTCAGGAATTTCATTGTCAGTTTTCCACAACATGGGTGCTACAAAACGCTCTCCATTGTGTGCAATTTTCTTTTCCATTTCTAATTTCCACAAAACAACATCTCTTGGCTCCTCATCTTTGGGATTTATCCCAGACATTTCCACACTACTGAACCTGCGGAATTGTTCAGTTAAGTTTTCATCAATTTGCAAAAAGGTGACATCCCCTTCTTTCTCCAACCCAATTTTTCCTGTGAGGGTCCAGCCAAGGCGTGTTTTGAATCCATAAACCTGACTGGCCTCATCCTCAATTACATTGTTTTCAATTGGTATCAGCAACTTGGCCTGATCTACCCCAATAAGAACTTTCACATCTTCATAATTCAGATCTTGTACTGACAGCTGTCTGAATTTAGGGTTCATTTGAGCCCATTCAGCCCAGGCAACTTTCAGTTTTGGGAAAAAGAGTTTTCTCTTGGTAACAGCTGTATCTACTTTGAACCAATGAGACTCTTTCACACCCTTGATCAAGAACTCAATTTCTTTAACTCCTTCAATTCCAATTCCACCAACACTGTATACTTTTCTGGCTGATTCCTTCCCAGTCAATCCTAATTCTTTGGCCAGTTTTTCATCCATAAGAGTTTGTGTGCTTCCATAATCTAGAAGTACCCCAACCCTGCGGATCCCATTTGGCCCCTTCACATCAGCATAAACAGTGGGTAAAGAATATGCTTTGGAATATGTGGCTGTAGCTACTACCCCTGCATTGCTTTCCCCTTGTGTTTTTGGATTTTCTTTCTGATGCTCATTTTCAGCCTTGGGCTTTGTATTTTCTGCTGGTTTGCTTTGCCCATGAAAAACAGTGTTGTGTGGTTTGTTGCATTCTTTGCAGGCCACTTTTGACCTACAAGCTCTGCTTTGATGTCCCATGCGCAGGCAGCGAAAACATGCACCTAATTCTTTAACTTTTTGTGCACGAATGTCCACTGGGAGCTTTAGAAAAAAGAAACACTGTCCCAAATAATGGTTAGTTTTCTTGCAAAAAATGCACTCAGTGCTTTTCCTTTGTTCATTTGATTCAAATTTCTCTGTGTCTGTCAAAGTAGCATTGGTTGTTTCTTCCCTATATTTCCCTGTATTTGTTCTGGTCGCCTTTGCAGCTGGTGTGGAGTTTGTGTTCTTGTTGCGGTCTTTACTTGTAACAAGTGCTGACCAAGATTCTGCTGTGTCAGACAAAAATTTAACCAGTGATTCCATAATGCTAGGGGCAACTGGTAAATTATCCTGCTTCTCCAACATAAACCAAGCTGTTTGTATCTCAGAGGGAAGTCTCTCCTTAATGCTTTCCATTAGCAAGACACCATTCAAATCAGAAAGCATATTGCCCTCTGTCAAAGTTCGAATTATGGAACCAATTCTGTTGATCAAATCCCTAAGCTCTTGAACATTGTGCATTCTTACCAAGGGAGCATCACGTAATTTGTAAAACATTCCTCTCACAACTTTGGTTCTTGCTGCATAAGTACTGTGCAACAAATCCAGCGCCGCATCATATGCACCATCATCAACATTAATATTTTCAATGAGTTTCAAGGGTTCTCCGCGCAAGTATCCCTTCAGAAGCACAAATCTTTGCACATTTGTATTAACCGCATTTGCCAATTCTTTAACCCCTTTAATGAATGGTTGAAATGAAGTAATATCACCATCAAAAGACTTGACTTCAATTTGTGGTCGAAAGTTGGCTTCTCGTAGTGCTTGTGCCAGATCCCTGATGACAGTGGATTCAGTCCCAAAAATGGGGCTGTGTTGAGGGATGTAAGGAGCTTCCAGGTTGCTCCCAAAAATTGCTGGGCTTGATCCTTGGGTCCTGTTGTGGGATGGGTTGGTGATCCTGGGAGGTTCCTGCGTCTTGTTGGTTCCATTTTCCAGGTTCAGCCCACAAATATTTAAATTTTCTTTTGCCATCTGAATTAATTCATCAAGCTTTTCTCTTTCTCGTAAAAAGTTCACATATTTTTCTTCAGTCTCATAAACAAAATTTTCTTCATGAGCCTTTTTCAAGACAATTTTTGCCCTGTTTATTTTACCTTCTATGAGGGCATTAAATTTTTCGTCTTTTTCACAATCTTTCAGTTTGCTCTCAATTTCGTTGGTATAAAATTGCAGAGTAGTTATAATGGCTTGCATTCCATTTGTAGTTCTTTTTTCATTGCACAATGTTTCTTTTGAGCATTTATCTTTGCTTGCTTCCACAAGGGTTATTTCACCCTCCAATTCTTCTGACTGATCTTCTAAAACTTCTTGGGCCCATTTTTCTTGCATTAATTTTAATGCATTTTTCTTTAATTCAGACCAGCATTGTTTGTCTTCCACCCTTTCTCTGGGGCTTCCCATAGGATTCTGGAGATATATCTCCCTATCATTGCCCCTTTTTAGCCAAATATTCAATTCTCTCACTAGTTCTTTTTTCGTATTTTTGTCTCCATCATTTCCACTGATTTTTTTCAGGGTTTCAAAAATTTCCGAAACTTCAGCAGATATTTTTCTTAGAGAGGTTGTACCTTTTGAAACTGGCCAGGTGTAGCTCTTCCTGGTGTACTTTCCATTTTTTGGAGACAATTTCTAGGCACTTTCTTAACTTCTGATGACTCCTGCAGGTAGTCTGATCGTTTCTTGGTTTTGTATCACTTTTTTCACTTTCCGTTTTTGTTCACTGTCTGGTGCTTAAACCATCACTGGCCCCAACAAGCTAGTGGGATCAACTTGAGTCACCTTTCAAAAACCGAAGTTTTCTACACCGCGACAATCCCGTTGCTGAGCTTATTCAGGAAAGCCACACAGACTATGAAATTTTATTTCAGCTCTCTTTTTTTTTTTTTTTACTTTAATTCCGCAGTTCCCGGGTCGCGGCACCAAAAAATGTGGGAGCTTTTTCCCTTTTTTCGTAAGCTTTTTTTAAGTTTGACTCGGGTCGATTTGCGGACAAGTAAAACCTTTGGCTTGTGAGGTAAGCCAATCCAGAGAAGGGAAAAAAATTGTCGACAATAGTAAAGATGAGCTTCTGTATTTCACTGTTCTCTTCAACAGCTAAAACCGAACTACTTTTGCATCCGAAAAAAAACGTTGCTTATAAACACACTCCTGGCAGAATAGCGCGCCAAAATGAAAGTAAAATGAGCCAAAAATACACAAAAATACAATGGTTGCAAACAATGTGTTCCACAACCGTTCTGCCGGAAAACGGAAATCCGCGTCGTAAATTTTGCTTTCACCAGGGTTTTTTTCTCTCAGCATGGGGCATCAGAGCCCCAACTTTCCATCAACGGTCTATTTTTCTTGACATAGAAAAATCAATACATCAGGCATTTTTGCCATTCCCCCTGTCAATGTGACGTGTTTTTGCTCTAACGTTTTCCAGGAAACAATATTTCCTCACTAAAGGGTCTTTCTGATGTTTTTGAGGATTCTGTTCCTAGTCCAGGATGTGGATTTCCGTTTGGTTTTACAAAGTGTGTAGTCAACGGTTTTTTTTTTGTGATCAGTGTTTCAACACTGTTTCTATACATGATAATGCATGCAAGTATTTATATATATTACAATTTTTATCCACAGGTAAGTTCCCATTTTGAAACTTTATTCAGAATTCCCGTCGCCCTGTAGAAATGTAGGAAATTCCTTTGCAGGATTATTGACGCTATACTTCTACACAACAGCATAAAAATTTCGTGTGAGCCGATTTTCGTAAAAGGTTGTCAAATTTCTGCATAAATATTACAGTATACTCAACGTTAGGAAAAATATGCAAGTATAATAGCATAATAATTCCATTCATTCTACGGTACTTCCCACCTACATTGTGATACTTTCGATGCGTACATTAAGAAAAATCGGATTTAAGATGAATTTTAGATTTATACATTCGTCCAGTAAAAAAAGCAGAGGATAGGTGAGAAAAAAGCCCCCCTTTTTTTTACCCCAATACAAATCGGAGCCTAACTTCGCTGTTAAAATTCAGATTTATCAATTACATTGAAAAACTTATGACTAAGGGAATCGAAGACAAAATGCCTTTCCGCGGAAAATCAAATACCTAGGATAATGGGATACTGTTCTTTATCTTAAAACGTACATTTAACTGGTAAACATTCAGCATAAATATGACCTGACGCGATGTTCACCCATATTCCCGCGAATTTCGAAGGGCATGAGCTTTTACGATTAATAATAATTTTAAAATAAAATTATAATAAGAAGGGACTCAAGTAAAAATTGGTAGTCATCAGTGTACTGGCCCCACTTTTTCCCGTTGATTCAATGAATAAAACCTCCGACAGACTCAACTTTCGGAGCTCGAAGCCCTCAGAGTATTATGGAAGATCTCTCTATACACTCCACAAGATCACCCTTGCGATCCAGAACATCATCAGTACAGTATGTGCATGTAAATTACTGCACATGCATTCGGAAGTCTTCAAAAGGCCAGATGAAGAAAAAAAAAGCGTGAAGTAAATGTAAAAAAAAAGAGAGGTAGACAAAATTTCGGGACCGCCTTGCGTTGCTTAATGATGCAGCGACGAAAAAATAAAAGAAGGGGGTTCCCGCGCGGGTTCGTGATTGGGAACCAGGTCGCCGGCTTGGGGCCTTGTCAGGGCATCCCTGGTTTATCATCATTAGTGGGGTAGTCGCGAGGCGGCCTGGCGTGCCTGATCTGCTGCCGCCCTGGTTCAATGAAAGGAATAATGAAGACACAAAAAAAAATAATAAAGATATAACTGTGCTCCCATTTCACAAAATGACCTTCCCTGCAATTATTGGGGACTCGAGCAGCGAAACAAAAATTATATTTAATACTGTATTACATTTTAATCGGAAATAACTTCCGGCGTTGCGTCATTTGCCTCTCAAAGACAATCGAAACTCGACTTCGAGAGCCGAGTTTCTATCAAGATTCTAGGGAAATCCATCAAGATTTCTCCGCAAAAAAAAAAACGAGGCCCTGAGACTCGTTATCCCATTCGACAAATTTTCACTGGCCAATGAAAAACCTTTAAAATAAAACAATTCAAAAACATCCTTGCGTGCAACTTGTTGAATTGGCGTGGAAAAGGTTTCGAACTGAGTTGATTTGCGTATCTGTTCAATTTGGGAAATATTTAGAAGGATTTTTCTCGATAGGAACTTACTTGCGAGAAAGTTCCCAGGCTGATCGTTGTCTTTTTTTGTATTCCTCTCAATATCGTTTTTACTCCAGTATAACACGCCTTTATTCCAGAAATTGAGCCAGAAAAAAAAGGTACACGGGGTAAAAAAAAAAATGCACCAGTGCCTTTTTTGCTGATCTAGTTCCAAATATTAGTCACCATCTCAACAGAGATGTGGATCTTGTAAAAGCACAGAATTGATGCATCATTCTGAAAGTTTGACAACCTGGTACTTACCATTGATACGACCCATTCATCCTCCATGTCTTCGGCTGTCACTATTTCCGTACACGCAGCCGACACTCAAATGCAGTCGTTCATGTGTGATCCGAACCCCAGTAGAAAATCCCGGAATGCATTTTTCGCGTGTCAGCCAGTTTCCCTTGCAAAGAACAAGACCCATCGTCGCAGGATGAACTAACTAATCATGATGACACATCAGCAGATTATTATGAATATCATTCCGCTTTGTTGATTTTTTTCTGAGACGGGAATCCAATCATGCTTTCGTCATTGAGAAAATAAAGAGCTCCGTAATGCGTCGGGTTTACTTTGGTGCGTCTAAGAGAGAAGTAGACGAGAGAATGTAACTGGATGAAATCCCTATAAATAAAGCAGCAAAGGAATAAAATGTTCTGTTTTAGGGGATCAATGCTTGCATTAAAGAGAAGTAGACGAGAGAATGTAACTGGATGAAATCCCTATAAATAAAGCAGCAAAGGAATAAAATGTTCTGTTTTAGGGGATCAATGCTTGCATTGCTGGAATAACACATGCTGCGAAAAAAAAAAAATTGGATCCCACGGTCGATGGTTGTTTCCCCCTTGTCTGAGGTATAGCACATTTCCTTGTGCAAGTACAGGGTGCACGGGCAGGAAAAAAAACCGTGAAGCGATTTTTGACTCAAAATAGGTCAGCAGCAAATCAAGCTGCAGCGATGAAAAAAACATCGAATGAAAGCTTTTTAAATTCTCTTTAAAAGTGTATGTAGTTTTACAGTCTGAAGTGCCACGGCATTTTTACAAGAATCAACTGAATTTAAACTTTTCAAGAAAAAAGTTATCAGGCAA